ACTCTTTGATATCAAGTTACTTTCGGTTAATAATCTTTGTGAGGTGAATTATTGATAAACAGGATGGGGTATAGCCAGGGCGATACTGATCTGTACACATGATACTTTGATCAGCAAAACCATGAAAAACTTCCTGAAACACGACAACAACAACCAATAGTTGACTGATTATATCATTGATAGTCTGCAGAAGAAAATATCAATTCATATTGAAAATTCAACCTGATACCATTTATCAATATCAAAGAAAGGCAAAAATTGTATGTTTAAATGAATTCTCTGATCAAACATATTTGATTTTTCATTCTAAACATGAACTTTCTTGCCTTTGATTGTAATATAACTTATATAAGGGATATTGCTCCCATGTGCAGTTTTACTTTCTTTCCCACTACACCTCACTAGTCTTAAAGCCTATAAATACAAAACCCCTATTTTCTATTGTTTAGTATCTCATTAAGCAACTCAGGTGGAAAAACGTAGCAATTGTTCAGTAAAGCTCTCTCTGGCTTTGCTAAGTACTGGAAAATCAGATTTTCTGGGCGTGGTTTCAACGTGTTCTATTGTTGTTGTTTTTTCAACCAGAGCTCTTTAGTTTTTAAACTGATGACAGAATGAATAGGTTTTGATGAAAATTGCAAAGAGTGAAAATCACTGCACACAGATGTGGGTATATAGGACTACCAACACATCATCAAAACAGTTTTTAATATATGATGGTATTTCAAGGGATATCCTTTTGAATGTGACATTGCTACATGTACTGTGATGTTCTTCCACGTGGACTTAAAAGGAGGACAGAAACTATTTTCCACCTTGACCAGAAATCGACCTTCTCAGATTCAACATCTTGATGTATGAACAAGAATGCAGAGAAAAGGCCTGTTTTCATCAGCTCGAGAATGCCAAATATCCCACTATTTGAACTATCCCGATCGCAAATTATCCACTTAATTTGCGTCATCAGCCCGAAGTTGCAATTAGCGGGATATTATATACATGTATATCTTGGGCTATATCTCCCACTATTTGGCCGGTGCATCTTCACCAGCCCAAAGACTCGCACTATGCACGAAGGCTGAGCAAAATATCTTGAGCTAATTTCTGGAGCTTGAGTTTCAAGTCTCAACCGATGAAGTCGCAATTTTGTAACTTCTGGATTATTTCCCAAATCAGAAAGCAGGGCTATTTGGCAATCTCAAGCTGATGAAAACAGGCCTATTGAGAGGGAGCTCTGAAGCCGGAAAGCAGGGTCCATGTGGAGCCTGGGGTCACACAATAGAGCAAGCAAGATGTCACAATGTACGTCCCAGACTCATTCATCATACCCCCATCACAGAGGCATGGTATGACTATCAACATCAGACTAGTCAAGAGGTCAAAGGTCATAGAGTCACAAGCTATGTACATGCATGAATCTAGGAGCAATGGACATGGATGGTAATGAACTGATGGAAACAGGAGAAGCAGCCAGCCCCCCCCCCCCCCCTTGCCCTTTAAAAAAGCATCTTTAATATAAAAGCAAAGTTGGACTTAAACCCCCTCCCCTTCACTATAGTACATACATTGTATGTACACACATTGGCCTTACAAGTTACTTCCATATTATTCTGAAAGCCTCATAAACATGACAAATCCAAGATGCGTCACAGAACCCTTATAATGGAGGGGGTATGAAACCACAAACAAGAAATACTGCTGAATTTCAAAATCATCCAGTTTTTGTTGTCAATGATTGCAGGATACTGCCAAAGACAATCAGAATTCAGACAATCCTGTAAATACCAAGAGAGCATGCCCTCGCATGTTCACCCCTTCTGCCCCTGCGCGGTTCATTCTGATAATTTCTGCCCCTGTTAGGTTAGGTTCATTCGGACAAATTCAGCAAAATGGGTTTAAGGAGAGGGCAATGAACTTCAATGGCAGGAAGGTTTCCAAAACAATCCCAAAATTTCTGCAGGATGAGATCATAGAGCTGTTATCAGAATGCAAACCATATCTGCTCTCAAACATGAAAGACCAAAGGGTCCAGTTTGCAATATTTGGGGTCTGTGGGCTCCTAAATGCCCCTGTATACATTTAGAAATTTGGAGATTCCAGAATAAAAGTCCTGGGCACCTTGTGCATCTGACTGTTCCTGGTTTGCTTGAACACAATATCAACTAAAAAACGGTGCTCAAATCCCTTCATATTTTGCCTTATTCGCACAGCAGACACATTTGGAAATGCCATAAAACTGTAAACGATCATCTTATAAAGTTTGCCGTTCTTTGGTAACCTTGCCATAAACTATCAGTCATTGCAAAATATGTCAACAAATTAGATCCTTTATTCCCTTTCTTCAAACAAAACTACTGTTAGATAGTTCATTCACTAAATACCATGCAGAGAGAGAGAGAGAGAAAGAGAGATAACTATGTATGCCAATAGGGTTTAGTAGAGAAAAAGATATTAAATGAAAACATTTGGATTTGGATTTTGTTCTTTAGTATAGATATTTCTCTGATATGCATGGAGAATCTGCTATCCATCAAAAGTTATAGGCCTACAATCCAATCTGAATTTTCCTCTATGCAATAAAAAATATAGGAATGTTATCCCGATTACATAAAACACGGATAATATAAATGTATGTCTGTTATATTAAAATATTGAAGCAGAGACTTAGCAATACATGATACTGAATGTACAGAATATGAGTCGAAGAAACGGACCAAATTTCTATAAATCTATTTTGCAATAAATGAGAGCTTGACTTCGTATGTTTTTATCCAACAACAAATTTCATTGAATATCAAATAAATATAGAATAATCAATCATTTGGATTAGTGAAGCAGATAATAATCATTATCGTTAGACTTTGGAGTCTAAAACTCGGACAGAGATACTGAATAACTTTAATCTAAAGAAGAACTTTGAACTCTAAGAATTGTGGACTGTATAGCGGAGAATGTGGTTTGATCAGTCATTCACTTTGTGTTTGTACAAGTTTCTTTCAAGTCTCTCTCTCTCTACCTCCCCCCCCCCCCCTTCCATCCATTTGAGCTTTGCACCTGCCTTAAGACCATTCAATAACATCTGCACATTAATACAATTTCACAAAGAAGGCATTGTATAAATGCTTTGTACAACATTTTTCATTATTACAAACACAAATTTTTCTCTTCCAATGTTTATTTACCTGTAGATTTATTTTTAAGATGTATTGTCTCTCCTTTTAAAATGTATTGTCTCTCCTTTCAAAATATGATGCCTGAACTGCTCTTACAAAATGATTACTTCAGCCAACCTTTGTCCAATTAATCTTATGTACAGTGTATATCAATACAATGCAGATTGCCATTCAGTGCTAAGTGCAACACAAAGAATGCTCCCACTCCGCCAATGTACTATACTGTAGCTTCTAAACTGACATTACCCGATATGCAAAACGAGTGCTAAAAAAAGACAACACAGCCCTATTAAAAACCTGCATTCTCCGCTGCTACTTAATTGCTACTGAAAATTTCAGCACATCGGAGCACGGCGAGTTGACGCACTGCGAACCCTAAAATAACGACTGTCAAATTTCTGATGCTCGCACCACTGATGAGGTTTGAAATTAAAAATTAAAGCAGTCTACCGTTCTACTGACAAATATTTTATGACTTGCGGGCGATCAGGCGTGACCCCATAACTCGTTAAATATGAAATAAACATAATGTGAAATATTCATGAGCAACTAGCCTTAATATCAGGACTTTAGTATTTTAGTGTGACGTCTACTCATCCGTTCTATTTGGTTTGAATAGGGTAGAAGGGAAGGATACGTTTTAGGCTTTCAAACGAAAACATTAGTTTTGACACTACTAGAGACACTGCTAGTGCTACTACTTCTACTATAAATACTACTAGTTCTTCTACTACAACAACTACTACTACTACTACTTCTACTTCTATTCCTTCTATTACTACTTATACTACTTCTACTCCTTCTACTTCTACTTCTACTACTACTTCTTCTACTTCTACTTCTACTTTTACTTCTACTACTACTTTCAACTACAACTTACTTCTTCTACTTTATTATCATCATTGTCATCATCATCGCTCTCATCAGCATCGCTATTACACCTAAAACACTCTTTAGTTTTTACAGAGTAAATATTTCAGTAATTTTTGTCTCCACAGTTAGACACACATGGCACGCTTGCGTATACCTTATGAATATTTTCAACAATGAAAAAAATTTGAAAATCAATACACCCATAGTACGCTCTATCAAATGAATTCATATCGTGTATTGATCTAAATTCCAGCATTCCAAAAGTTGAGAGTAATCATTATTTTACAACAATGTCTATTATGAAGTATATATTCAACTAGGATTTGCTCAAATTTTGTTGGTATATGATTTAATATCAGCAAGCTTTTGCTCGTAGTTGTCAGGCATATGTGTATTTTTAGCGTACCTTCAACTGATCATTTGTAACTCTTTTAAGATTATTAAATTCTCAACATGATTTAACTTTGAAAAGTGGAAATAACTTTGATCTGCTCGAAATGGACGTCCCCAAACCACTTCAAAGTTCAACTGCTCTTTCAACAATGAACTAGTCAACAATGTGTTTTCTACACCTACGTTTACATCATGTTGATGTGTATAAGATATTTTATTGGTGTTTGTGTGTGTAATGAAGCATACAGGGACCTGCAAAATAGTACGTCCACGTGATCTTGATAATAAAAAAAAATATTGATTGCATCACTGACCAGGCTGGCCAGTGTGAGGGAATTTGAACCGTAAAAAGGGTCGTTTCTCATTGAAAGAGGTTGATATAGAGCATGTTAGTGAGTAACACAATAGATTGAGTGTAGACGCATGGGTTATTATATACCTGCTCGCCTATGCATGGTACTAAGCATGCGCCTGGTACACCGCACAGCAGACAAGACAGAAAACATGTGCTGAACGGGATGAGGGGGGGGGGGGAAGAATCGGAGAGGCAAACTCACTTACCATAAAAGGAAAATAGACGTCTGCTACACCGTCAAAAGCTTGCAAAACATACGAGACCTTCCTCTCTAGCTGCTGTCTCTCTCGTGCGCTCTCTCAGGGCGATCACAAGGATGATGGTGATGTTGAGAAAACGTGCAGACCCGGTCTCTTTCGATATGTAGGAATCCCTTACGTGTGATGGACGAGTTCAAAGGCGTTTAGGACTCCGAAAATCAAGCTTGGGGTGTATCGATGGGCTGTCCAGCTAGCAGGAATCGGCCAATTTTATCCCAGTTTTGTACTGTAAGGGGTCAGAAAATAGGAGATGGCGAATGAAGTCACAGTCTGCTTGCTGTACGGGTTGAGATGGTATAGTGATAGAAGTTCAGTAATTGGACTTCATAGCTCATAGCACAATACATGAGACACACACAGGCAGGTCGGTTGGTCTACACACTCTCAGACATACATGCACAAATGAATACCTTACACATTACAAGTCTATGGCATGTGTGTGTTGGGTCTGTGTGTGTGTGGTTTACCTGAGGCAGTCTATGCAGAAGGCAATGGATCAATGCTTGTGTATAGCTCTCCCTAATCAAGCATATGTGGGCCTGCTCCATTCACGGTCAGAGGGGGGAACGTGGGGATGATGTCTTCTTAGAGGTGTGCGAGGGATTAGCGAGGCTGGGTAAACATCCCGAATTTACCCTTGTGATAATCACCTACCCGACATTACTACCCAAAATACACACTGGTCTTTGATTCACAGTCGGGCTAATCGTCCCCTCTGGCAAAAAGGGTCCAATTTCTCTTTGAAGTGCATCAAATTTCCATAGATATTTAACCCAACAAACTTCCCACACCTTTCTACGACCTCAAGCCCCTCCCCTATGACAATAGTCAATGATTCTTCAATACCCCCCCCCCCCTTGAAAAACCAATAGCTCTTGTGTTAAAGACATTTGGTTGGTTGTGGATCAAATTTATTGATCTATATTGACCACCAGGTGGCATAACAAGTCAGCCAATTTTAAAGGGACTAGCGCAATAAAAAGAGACAACTGGAGTTTTAAAAAAATAAAAAATAAAAAAAGAAAGGGCTTTATTTCAGTCAATTTCAGCTAAAAACAAAGTCTTGACGAGATGAAACGCTGCGTAGCTTTAAAAACCGTCAGGTAGACATTATTAATACTCATTTTAAGTATGTGTTCAGTGCTGCTAACACAAACTGGAAGCTTTTGCGGTATGACTTTTTCAGACATTGTTAAAAACAGCAGTTTTACGGCAAGAAACTTTTGCGAATCGCACAATTTCAGAGTTGCGATTCATTAAATTCGTGGCCTGAAACACTTGGCGAAATTCAGTTTCTTGCATCTCAGAGTTTCAGGTTTAACAGTTTTCAAAGGCTTCAATGGCTTCAAAGCCGAAAAGTGAAAACAAAACAGATAAAACATTTTTCAACTTATTTGGGAAATGTCTTTCAGATAACACAATCTAAAGGTATGCATAGGAACAGCTGGCAAACTACATGGCCAAGGGTCTGTCATGAATTGGTTAAATCAAATAAACTTTCTTTCTCAATCCAGGCCTTAAATTAATCGACGGCCATCGACGGCCAGGCCGTCGATGCCCCTATGACTGGCCGCGGTGCCCTCCCAAAAAAAGATAAATTCACGGCCAAAAAGGCCGTGCCCTTTTTTTCAAACTGGCCGACGTGCCTTTTTTCCAACTGGACGTGCCCTTTTTTTTTTTAATTTGCGCACATAAAACCACCAATTGCGCTTAAAACTAGACGGCAAGGCGCAAGTGTTTTCCGTGAAAATGCGCCCATAAATTATTAGAACAGAAAAAATACACGAATCACGAACAGTTTGCCGCCCACGAGCTCTCTTCTAGCTTCGTATTTAGTGCAAGTGCCGTGAAAATGCGCCCTTTGTTATTATATAGATCTAGGCAATGCGCTAGCGCACGTACGTACGTTCATGCGATCGCATGATATGCATATGGTGCATGTTGTTGACGCACGCACGTACGTACGTACAAATCAAAGGCCAGGATCAAGAAAACAAATCGTCAAATGGAGAAATAAACAAGCATTCAAATAGTCATTAGAGATCTGTCGAGGTTTGTTTGTAGGTCTAGTTTATTATTTTATCTCAAATAGAATTTAGAATTATCTTATTAATAAGTTAAGAACACCTACGATGTTCTCGATCGTAATTACTCTCATTTTGCCACCAGCCGACCTCGCTTCAAAAAGCTACCCCGCCAGCCTCCCAAGACGAACGTTTCGAGTCCCGGTAAAATTACGCGCTGCGAGTCTCCGAGGGTGCATCGGTTTCGCTGGCAAACTTCCAGCCCGACAGCTTCCCACCAAAAGTGGCGAGAGTGTGTGTGCGAGGAACGATTTTGGTTTCGTGAATGCACGTTACGCAACTGAGCTGAGCGTGTCACTTTCAGCTGTCGAATGTCTATAAGGACATTTTTACATCTTATTTCATTAGTTAGGCCTATCTAGACCTTTCTATACAACAGTTAAAAAGATAATTTCTTCAAATTTGCTCCTACTACCGAGAGAGTGGCGGAAGGTTTGTGTGTGAGGTGCGATTTTGATTTATACCCGGCCCGGTAAACTTGCCAAGTCCTTCTGTCTTTCGATGTTTGTGAAATTGACAATTTATTTATTCATTTGCTCATCAATATTTTTAGTTACTTTAGAATACTGTTTAATGTGCAAGTTTAATGTTCTTAATCAATCTTTCCTGTTCATATTGTTAAGATTAAAAAGTTATTAAATTGATCGTTCGATCTATTCACATTATGAAATTAACAACTCTCTTTGAACTTATGATTAGATAAGGGGCCTATCTGTTTTTGGAAAATTGCCCCTTGCTCTGGTAAATTCCTGTGGCAAAGGGCGACTTAAAAAAAAATTGCCCCTTGCTCCTGGCTGCTAAATCTAAGGCTTGCGGGCCGCCGCCTTGTTTATATGTACCGTAGACCTCTATACATTCTGTGAAGAAGCTGGTGCTAAAAGTCATGGGAAATTGATCCCACACAAGTTTCATAAAATACACATGACATCTAACAAAAGTAGAATCAATTTTTTTGGCCTCGTACTCGATGCCCTTTTTGTAAAATATTTTGGCCTCGATGCCCTTTTTGTAAAAATATTTTGGCCTTGGTGCCCTTAAAAATATGAGGTACTCGAGGCCAAACTGGCCTTGCCCTAAAAATGACGAAATTTAAGGCCTGTCAATCCCTACCTCAACTCGACCTGTACCCATTAAATCATAAAAGCATCACTCCAGCATTCAGATGAGCCAACTTTACATTTCATGCAATAACCGTACTATTACATACAAAAAGTGATTCAAATTTCTTGTCTGAACATTGTATTACATAACATACCGGTATGCATTATTATATTCAGGCTATATGTACACTGTACATGTAAGTCTGAAAAGTGTGGTATACAAATCTAAATGTTAAAACAGATCATTATGAAGTAAAGTCAGTTAAACTGTTACTAAATTTAAACAAATACAATGCCTAGACCAGCAAAACTCTCCTCCTTCTTCAAAAGAGTTTCTTCATTGATCAAAATACAGAATGTATTTTTAGACCCAACTGTGATGGGACCAAATGAGATTGGGAGGGGTGCACCGGATTACCCCTAGTGCTACCCTCCGTGACTCTTTAACTCCCTTGGAGAGTCTCCTTTTCTTTTGACTGAAGCCTTCCCGCCAACGTTCAATGATTTCTCTTGTTCTTATCCAAGTAGAAACACAGCTTCAATAAAAGGGGAACAATGCGACAGACCATGGACCTACATGGACAGGCTTAGCGATTCTACAATAACGTATTGTGAGAAACTCATCATCTGGTCCAGGCTAAAGCTGAAGCGGTCCATCGATCGATCAGGCGTAGGGCAAGCTGACATGGGTACAGGGGTGTCATGGTCGTACATTAATGATTGAACTAAGGACACATGGCAGTGAAAACAAGGGTGCAGACAAACGGACAAATCAGAAAGGTGGTAGGAGATTGGTGCAAATGTGACAGCTACATTGTATGCGAGGAAGGGGCATACATAATTCACTGGGGATTTAAAGAGAGAAATAACATTACATAATGATCTAGAAGTTACAAGAGACTTAAGGAGGGTGAAAAGAAATTATGAAATGAAGAGGATAGGAGATATAAAAGAGAACAAACGAGAGAAAAAACGAGAGAATGCAATATAGAATCAGAGGAAATTAAGATAACTTCCGACAGAGTGAAGTAATAGGTAAGATTCAAATAATGTGATTATTACAAGGCTCTAGAAATAGAAAAGTCTAGTTGAGCATCTCAAAGAAGCATATTCGAACAGAAGAAGACTGATAGAAAAGGGTCTTTTAAAAAGAGAAGAAGGAGAAAAGAAGGAGAAAAGAAAAAGTTCTAAAACTTTAGGCTTATAAATATTAAATACAGAAGGAAACGAAGATGGGGATGGTCGGAGGAGAGAAAAAGAATGATATAAAAGATCAAGAAAGACAAAGGTAAAGAGGAAACAAAAAAAATATTTGTCAAAAGGAAGAACATAATGTACAAAGAGAGAGAGGGAGAGAGAGAGAGAGAGAGAGAGAGAGAGAGAATAGCATGTACATCAATTGTAAAAAGAAAAAGTGAAGGAAAAAGCAAAGGAAAAAGGAATAGAAAACACCCATAAATGGGGAGGGTGGTAACATGGAGTTGGGAGAGGGGTTGAGGGGTGATGAAGATGGAGAGAGGAAGAGAGGGGTTAGAGTTTTGGAGATGATGGTGAAGGGGGATAAGAAGACGGAAAGAGAGGAGAGGTTGAGAAGGTGGGGAGAGAGGTGGAGAGAGAGAGATAGAGAGATAGAGAGGAGAGAGAACGAGAGGGGGAAATGGAGATGGAGAGATGAAGATGGATGGGGTGCTAACTGAGGAATACAGACAGACAGACATGAGATGATGTTTGCGTGGTAGAGAGACTATACCAAGGACCAAGGTCAAGCTTCAGTACATGACATATGTAGAGGTAATCAACCATCACAGACACTACATTAATAATTCAGCTCCCAACAATACCAAGATCGAACGCACCTATTGACAGAGACCTATATAGGCCTGTCTTCATTAGCTCGAGATTGCCAAATTATGTTGATATTTGAAATATCCCGATCACAAATTATCCAGCTAATTTGTGTCTTCATCAGCTCCCAGTAGCAATTAGCGGGATATTTGGTCGGGATAATATCCCAAGATATCTCGGTCTAGATAATTTGTGCCAGTCTTCATCCGACCGAAGTACGGAGCCAAAAATTTCCGATCCCGTCTGTGAAGTGCGCATGCGTCAATCTCGAGATCATTTTTTGAGCTAGTTTGTGATGAGCGTACTCGGTCTGGTGGAGACACGATTTCGAGCATCGGGATAATATCCAGAGTCTGAAAAAAGTGGGATATTTGGCAATCTGGAGCTGATGACGA